TATTTATATTAAAGTCGGTTGTACAAATGTTTTAATTTTTAATTATTATCGTAGTAAGTCTTGTATGATATCCCCTTTAAAATCATTACTCAAGAGTTGCGGGTTGTTATTTTTTGTGTCTCACTACCAATGCTTTTCTAATATTTACTAAGAAAAAAGTAGTAAATTACTATTAGCGTCCTTTCAACTTCAAATGACCTTTCCAAAATATGTAAAAATGTTAAATGAATGGTAGTTTTGTTTTATTTATTAGGTTGGGAAGACACAAATAGTTATATGCGTCTTTCCTTCGATGTTTTTGTGTTGCCAGGTGTACTTTTTTAATCTAAGATGAAAAGGAAAATTCGTTTTATTTAAATAAATAAACAAATTAAAAAAAAATAAGTTCGTCCTTAAAATCTTCATGTCTCTACGTATATATTTCAATACAGATACCTTTTAATATACTTTAGACACGGGGTCTGAAAGAAAAATTCATCAATTTATTTTTTATTTCCATTTTACGTTTTTGTTAGTTACTTCCTTTTTTATTATGACGGCAGAATGCCTAACCCTGTCGCCTCACGCTTGTGACGCAGTAGGTTTCAGCCTTGACGGGGTTCGTTCGTTTTAGTTTTTGAGACAGTTCCGTGTTGATTTTGTACACGCGTGCGCGAGCGACAGTTCAATCGTTTTGTTTAATAAATTTACTTGTGATTACGTGTTGATATAAAAGTTTTTGTTACGTTTTTGGATTCTTTTTTGTTTTAATAATGCCTAACGCGTACGTTTATATTGGTCAACATGTTAGGTATCCGAACCTAGGTACACGAAGTATCGCTAAATAAATTGTTAAGACGTCGGGATGGTACAAGTGTGTCATACTGTGCAGTGCACAAAGTGTTGAAGCGTAACCAATGCGCCCATACAAATTGCACAAAGTGCAAGCTTTAGTTCCCGGCGATTACGACCGCCGACGAGTTTTCTGCCGTTGGTTATTATACCAGCAACAACGTGTGCCTGGTTCCATTGAGCACATTATCTGGACGGATGAGTCGACATTTACCAGAAACGGCCTGTGGAACCGAAGAAATACACACGTGTATTCAGAGGTTAACCCGCACGCTGTTCGACAAACCGGGCACCAAACCCGATGGTCGGTTAACGTATGGGCAGGTTTATTTAAGGATCGCATACTGGGACCAGTGTTTCTGCCAGAGCGACTGAACGGACAGCGATACCTAAACTTTATAAATGAACAGTTGGTTGACATTTTAAACGACCTATCGTTGGCTGAATATCGCCGCACATAGTTCCAACATGATGGTGCCCCTCCACATTTCGTGAGGTTCATCCGTGAGCGCCTCAATGAGCTATTTGATGATCGCTGGATCGGCAGACTATGACCACACGCTTGCCCACCTCGCTCACCAGATCTGACTCCGTTAGACTTCTTTTTGTGGGGTATGTGAAAGAAAGGGTTTTTAATCGTGAATGTGATAGTGCTGAAGAAATGCGCCATAGGATCGTGGATGCTTTCGAGAAACTACGTACGGACTGTGTCGAAGACCACACGATGATGCCCCGCCTGCACCCAAATCTGCCTTGAAATGAATGGAGCACAATTTGAGCCGCATCTCATAAGACCACGGAGGATTTAGAGCAGTAAGCTGTTTCATAACTATTTTTTTTTTAAATAACTTAGTACTAGACTAATCTGAATAGGTACATAACTGAATACATGAGAATAATAAACATACCTACACGATGAATAAAAACGCATGACTCCAACCTTGGTTACATTTCATTTAAGTATTTCTTCATTAGCGGGGAATCGAACCAGTTATTTGGGTTATTTAACCTGTAAATTCGGATTAAAGTGTCTGCGTGGAGATAAGCACAGTGGCAAAATAGTAGGTTAAGTAGATAAGTTAGGTATTTAGACACGTGTTGTAAATTATTATATTGTGGGATGGCCCGCTAGTTGCGGGCCGCGCGAATTTGTGTTCGCGCGTACATTGACCTTTATCTAGCTCAGGTCAGGTGATATCAATTCAGTCATTCCACTGCTGGTTTTATGTTTCAGTATTTTCATGATATTTTTTATGAAATTATCGTTTCATTTAGCTGTACTAACATAATGGCGCGTGAATAAAGCTAATAAAACCTTGTAAAAAGATGATTTTTTTTTCATCAGGATCGAATTTATTTGTGACCCATGATCAAAGGTATACTTGGTGTTGTCGCCTGTCTTAGTTTTCGGGAGCGTTCCAAAAACACCCTGTATATTGTAAGGCGCTAATAAAATATGTAAACAAGGATTTGAGGAGCCGTAATAAACTTCCGTTGGGTTTGGATAAAACAATTATATTATGATCACCAATATTTAAGAGGGGGTTCTTCTCTTTTGGAGCTAAAAGATTCTAACACTATAAGATAACCACGACATGTTCTTTACTGGTTGAGGTATAAACAAATAGGCTGAATCCGTTACGTGAAAAATAGCTCTTCATGTTGTGTCAATGTGTTGGTCTTCTACATCAGTATTTTACTAGATGGTAGGATTCCTTTCTGCTTATTAGTCCGGTACGATCCTCTTACCAATTTCAGTGGAAAAGCTGCAGTGCATGCACTGCTGTGTTCTGGTCTGATTAGAGCGCCAATATAATTACAGGCTGTGAGGCATTCCATCTTAGATGACAACGTATATGTAGTCTTCTTTGTTTGATGAAATTCACATCAGACTAGGCTGTACTGTTTCAGAACTTTACCTGCCTTAATTGTCGAATCGTGAAAACTACAACTAGACTATTTAGTTTTAAATATGGAGTGTAGAGTACAAGGAGAACCATCTTATAAGGGGCGAAAGTTGAAAAAGTGTCCTACTATTTACTGAAAATAGAGGTTCCAAAACCTACCACAATAGCGCTGGCATCTGAAAAGCTACGATATGAATATAGGTGTTGTAGACGGAGTAAAGTCAGCTGAATTCAAATATTTGAAAAATTTCATGACTAGAGTAGTTAGTTGTAGTAATTTCGCTAATTTTTTTTTATAATATTCCTTGAAGTACGAAGATGGTTTTTACGGAGAGAAGAATTTAAAAAATTGCCTGAAAAAGTCTAAAAACAACACTTTTCTATATTCCCATACAAAAGATATGTAATAATACTTAAAAGTCAATTTGTACTTTAATACCATACTATAAAGCTTTTTTTTTATCTTACTAGCTGACCCGGTGTCCCGATTAACAGAAAAAGTATTAAAAAAAAATAAAGAATCGACTGTTAGGCTGGCTGAAAAGCCAGCCTAACAGTCGATTCTTTATTTTTTTATTCTTTTTTTTTGATTCTTTATTTTTTCTATGGGCTATAATATATATTATATCCCGAAATATAAATTATATCCCGCGATTGGCTTTCACACTGTGAGATATATTTTTTAACTAGTGTGCGTTCGTCATTGGTCATTGGCTTACCCCCCTTTACCCCGTACACCGTTCTGCGGGGGCGCGGTACAGTGTGCGGGATACAGGGGGCGAAATATAATATGAAAATATCGCTCGGTCGATCGAACAAATATTTATAGCTTGAGATGTAATATATATTATAGCTTAGTGTAAACGGTTCCATATGAAATGTGTGGTGAGCGATATTAATTTATATCTCAAGATGTAATATATACTTATATTATATCCCATAGTGAAAAGCGAGCTTTAGGCGGTACGAAATCCGCCACACGTTCACAGCACAGATTAGGTTAGACCGTTAGACGCCGGGATCCACAGGTAAGATTAGATTTAGATTAGAAATGAAATGACAAGTGACAACTTTTTTATCGTTACCTACAATAATTTAAATTTAAAGTACAAACAGTGGTAGAGCCACGCAGCAGCTTTTGCTGTCGCACGGATGGGCCGGCTCGAACCGGGGTGGTACCACGACCTCACAAAATACCAGCGTGAAGTAGAGGTTTAACTCTGCGTTTCGCTTGGTGAGTGCAGGTGGCCGGAGGTCCTTTTTACTGGAAAAGAGGCATTCAATCTTAGTCCTCACGGGTGGCAACGCATCTGCATTTTGATTCGCAAACGAGGATAGATGTAGATGTCTATGGGCCGCAGCAACCACTTACCATCAGGTGGACTGTGTGCTCGTTTGTCACCCTTATCCTATAAAAAAAAATAAAAATAAGTAACGACATCTTTGGATGCGTTTATAAATATTTATTTTATGCGTTCAAATTATGAACCAAGTACGACCGATTGTTTTTGCGTCCGCCAAAAAAAAATTAAAAACTAAGATACCGCAGCCAGTTTAGGAACTTTATCGCTAATTCTTGAATGAGATGAATCGGTCCGATTCGAGGGGTTTTTGGATCGATTCATCGAATCGATGTGGTGTTCCAAATCGATTTGAAAAATCGATTCTTTTACTCTTGAAAATCGATTTTTCAATTAATCGATTTTAGATCGACATGCCTAATCCTAAGTGTATTAGTCCCTGGTATATAGTTTATTATCTATGGTATTAGTCATAGACTCATAGAGTCGTGCACTCGTGCATTGTGTGGGCATATATAAAGGTACTCTGTGGTGTGGGCTAAGAGCGCTGCGCAGTGCGCACATTTTCATATAAAAATTATGATTTACGATTCTATTTAATTAATTGAAACTGAAAGCCGGGGTTTTGTGATTAAAAGTTTGAAATTATTAAATTGTTCAATACAACGTTTGTTGTTTGTGTAGGTTAATTACCTGTTTCTATTGAAATTGGAATATAATAATACAAATATTTTTGCAAGATTTGTTTCGTTTAAATTAATTATTGAAAACTGTTGTAATATAATATATTTTAATAACAAATTACAAAATTGTGCCTTTTTATATATTTTAAAATAAAATTGACAAGTGTTTCGTTAACATATAGCGATCAAATGAACAATTTTTGTCAACATGCTAAAGAATGGATATTTGTTTATATAAATTTGTAATTGTAATTTTTATTATATTGTGAATTGATATAATGGACGCGGAACCTAAAGAAAGCACCGACTTGTTAGGTGCAAATAAGGCAAATGTTATAAAATTTGAACCAGACCCAAGTTCCTCACATGATGAAGATTTACAAGGACCTCCTGATGGTGGTTTCAGAGCATATTCAATATTGGTAGGATCATTCTTAACAAATGGTCTTTTATTTGGGGTTATAAATTCATATAGTGTAATTTACACAATACTTCAGAAGCAATTACAAGATGAAAATGTGCCAAATTCGGAAAGTAGAGCATGTGAGTATAATAAATTATGTTATTTTATATTATTAGTTATAAGAATCGTGCATTGGTTTGCATGTCTTTAGCAATTCCCTTACTAATTGTAGTTAAAAATCTTGCATAGTAATATTATGATTTTATTATAAATAAGAAATGAAGAATATTAATTTTTATAAATGAAGATATTGTTAATACAATATTATTAAAATACAACAGTTATTAGGACTCAACTGCAACAGAATTTTCAATTAATTAAGAATGTCATTCATTTTCTACCGACTTTAAAAAGGAGACAGTACTCAATTTTACAGTTTTTTTATGCTTCACCTCATAACTTTTTTCTGGGTATACCGATTTCAATGATTCTTTTTTTATTTGAAAGCTGGTGCTTCTCATGTGGTCATTAGTTGTTAAGTTAATCTTAATAATTTATATTGTAGTCGGTTGTACACATTTTTTAATTTTAAATTATAAACTAATATTTTGACTCGGTCAAATCGACTGTCCATAACACACAGCCCACGGGATAGGAAATTGGTTAATTTCTCATCTCATTAGCCCATAAGTAGTCTACTGCATGATAGGGTCATTTTCTCATTCTTAAATTTATAGGCAAATGATATGTATTTTAATGGCTTTGTTAATATCTAATATACAAAAATTAAAAATTATTATTTGTTTGTTCGTATTTTATGTAGAATCCAGATATCACCTGTGTGAAGCTGGGGCAGATCGCTATTTGTTAATAAAATATACATTATTCACCATAAAACTGTTAGTGTTGTGAATTTCATAAATTTCTTTTTAACAAATTTTACAAAAAGTTAAGTATGGTTAAATATTCTTACTGTTAAATCTAATAAAATCTATCCTAATTTACGTAAATATATAACTATTTATGACAAAATATTATATTAAGTTTATTAAATATAAACCTAATATAGTCTTTATCTTATCGCGGTTTTACTGTATTTATAAAAATATATATATAAATTTAGTAGTTTCAACTAAAACCATGATTATGATTCTGACCTCTGCCTTAGTTAGCAACTTATACTATTTTCAATGGAGTGGTCATACTAGATGTTGTGTGCAGTGTGGGCTCTATAGAAAATAGGCAGACAGCTGCAAATTACTTACTGATTTTTCTCAAAATGTTATGATGAATGTATGATTTACTTGAAAATAAAAGTTAATAGCTTAAAATTTTGTACAACCAACTTCAATATATATTATTAAAAATAACTCAAAAACTATTGGTCAGACCTTGATCAAATGTATATGGGACCACATGAGAAGCACCAGATTTTGAATGAAATAAGATTCATCGCAATTGGTTCACATAGAACAAGGTTATGAGGTAACACACATAAAATCACATACAGTTGAATTGAGTACCTCCTCCTTTTTGAAGTCGGTAGAATATCCATAAACCCAAGAATGTTCAGTGTATGATGGCTCTGTAGTAAACTCGTAATTTTGATCTAGTGGTATAATATAAGGTAGCAAAGGTAGAAGAAAAAAAGAATAAGCAAATAAGGGTTCCTTATCTTAAAAGGGGGAAATGGAACCCTTATTGTATCACTTTGTTATACTTTATCCTGTCTGTCTGTATGTCAGGATGCTTTTATTTAGGAAGAGATAGAGATATAATATAGTTTGAAAAAATATCAATTACTAAAATAAACAGTCCCATGAAGTAAAAAATTTCAAACTTCTAAGTAAATTCAATCAAAATGTTGAGGCAATTTAATGTCACATATTTTTCTACTCCTTGCCAAATAAAAGAAAAAATCCGAAAATCATAAATTTTTCTTATGTTGTAGAGCCATGTGCAGCTATATTAATAGTATAGTTGCAGCATGAATGGGTCGGTTTGACAGGGGAAAGACCACGCTCTCACAGAATACCAGTGTAAAATAGCAGCTTAATGATGCTGCATTTCGTATTGTGAGTGTAGAGAACCGGAGACCCATTTTACTGGAAAAGAGGCAATCCATCTTAGTCCTCACGGCTGACAACGCATCTGCATTTTGATTCACAAACGAAGACAGATGTAGATGTCTATGGGCCACAGCAACCACTTACCATCAGGTGGAGTGCGTGCTCGTTTATCACCCTATTAAAAAAAATTGTAGTTATAAATCAAATAAAAAAAAATTTGTGATTACAAACTTATGTTTGCAGTTTGAACATTGACCATACTGTAGATTGATGTAGAGTTATGTTGTCTTACAATTCTTCTTGTTGGAGCACATTTTGGTGCTTGCCTTACCTATATTTCCCAGTATGGATGAACTATCCACATATATATATATATATACACTAGCTGTTCCCCGCGACTTCGCACGCGTGGAGTTATTTTTCGCGGAACCCTAAAATAAAAGCAGCCCAAGTTACTCCTTATAACATCAGCTATCTGCCAGTATGTATAAATATTGACATTAATATGTACACGCCCCTAGCTGCCCCAACAAAGGTTGACGGGACTAGGGCCCATGAGTAATCCCATCGACGGGCAGCAGAGGGACGGGGCCACGTGGAAATGTCCTATCACAATAAACTATATGGGAGAAAGCTAGAAACACATAGTACTTACCATTATCCGAAGCTAACTTCGCACCAAGGCTTGGGCAGGCCGTGAGTGTGTGTAATAGTGGATGGCGAGTAGTGTACAATGAAGTGTAAATGTCTGCGACCTGAGCAAGCTTAGGCGACCAGCAGCGGCCGAGTTCCAGGCTGCCCTAAAATGCTGCATTGCTCCAGCAGGCTCCATCGCTGGACCATTTCTTTCTTCATTGTCACTAATTCAGTCTCTTAGCTTCATTGTACATTTAACTAACTTAAATTCGCGATTCAGCGTTAAATACAACTAAGTTCCTTCACTCGACACCAGAACAACACGTCGCGCAAGATTCAAAATACGCCTTGTTGACACGCAAATTAATCTAACTAGCCAACCAAAACACAAAAGGGGCACTAAACGCGACGACACAATTATAATGAGATCTTGACAATTAACCGAGAGAAGCTCTCAAACAAGGACCGTATATCTACTCGACGCGCGTGCACAATTCCGCATTCCCGCACGAGTTAAATATCGCAAAAGTCACATATCTACGTGACGAAGCAACACGCACTTAATCTAACTATCTAGACCTACGACGGTCGCGTGAATTTCGGTAAGAGAGCCGCACGGGCTCCCCGCATCGTGTCTGGCGGGGCACTAACGTTGCCCACGAGCGTCACACGCTGGGAAACTGCCTACCGTTCCCCCTCCTTTCGATGCGCGTGACACCTGGGGCCATCGTGCGACTCACGAAGTCGAACGTGATTGGATGACGTTCAACATGACCAAATTTTGGCGTAAACAAACCCCCGTCCCGGACATAAGGACTTATGTCCGAGAGCAAACCGACAAGCGGAACAGGGTCGCGACGGCACGTTGCAAGACCAAATCTACAACCAAACCTCGGCCACCGTAGGCACCCCATCAGATCTTGCAACCCTAGCCACCGCCTCAAAAGACAGCCCCAATGTGGGCAAGCCGGAGGGTCAAACTCCAAGAGATGCCCCTCCTGGGCATCACAGCACCTTAACAAGTCCTGTACTGGACAGAAGTCCGACGACCTCTTTCAAACACCTATCTGTGCCCCTATGATTCGTTCCGCAATCCGACCGGATCAGGTCTGCAAACAGCGACGCGACACGAAGCGGCCCAGCGTGGCCTCTTAAGCTTCAGTGCATAGAGCACCCACAAATTCCACATGAACGTCGTCTGTGGAGAGCCAAACGAAACGCACATATAGTCCCTAGTATCAATTTTCAAACAAGTAAGCATAACCAAGCCATCCACCATATAATCATTTACTCAAATAGTGCGGCAGCTGATTTCAATCTGATAATCTCCAAACTAGCTAGCCTTTTAGACAAGTAGTCCTATGCTCATATGTCAACTAATTTTCAAAAGCATCAATGTTCAACTACAGAATTAATTCGAACAAATTAATCACCGATGCACATAGGTCAAACTGACAAATTAAACAAAACAATAAACGTAAGAGACAGCCCTATTTCTCATTTCAAACAAATATCTTAGACAGTGCCAACAAAATGTGAAAACCAAAAGAGGAATGACTCTTATTCCTTGGGGCACAAATAGGGTCATCCAATTTCAGCCTTCTCTTCAACAAAACACAGTGATAAAACACATCCACAAAAACATATATACAAATATCCAAATAGCGCGTTATTCAATTTCAAGTGAATTCAAATTTTCCTTTCAGCAAAACAGACACAATGATCAAATACAATTACAACATACGCACAAGCATTCAAAGGGCACATAATTCAATTTCAATTTTCCTTGCAACAAAACATACACAGTGATCAAATACAATTACAAAACATATGTATAAGTACTCAGAGAGCACACCAAATTCTCCTTCCTAATCACAACCGCCACAAATATGAACATTTCGCGGAAGGCACAAACCATTTTTAATTTTAATTCAAAGCATCGTTAAATAAGTGCTCGACCAAAACCAAATCTAACAATCCCTAACAGCGCAATTCAACGCTCCCGTGGAGCCCCAGTCCTCCCAACAACCAAACAGAGGCCAACCGGGCTATGAACCCGGAACCGACAAAGCGCGTACCGTTAAACAATCGACGCTCGGGTTGTACACCCTCACTGAGGCCGTCGACAATAGAACAGATTGATAAGTGAGCTGTTGACGGCTCACAGAATTAGTGGAGGCGGCCGTGGTGGGAGCTAGGGCGGCAGCTACCTAGCTGTGGCTGCCTACATCAAAGGGGGAACGGTAGTACCCCGAGCCGCGGCCACTCAGCTGCCGAGGATGAGAAGGGTCTAGCTGACCGCTGAGTGGCAGTGAAGTCCCTCTCAACATACTGACGGAGGGGGTGATGACCCCCCGCCCCTGGGGGAACAACCCCCGACAGGGGGCGCGGCTGAGCGCCCCCGCCCGTGGGAGTCGAGGGCCCTGAGAGGAAAC